ACTTAGACGAAATTGAGTCCGCGGCTAATGATGCACTAGTACGTTTGGGGCCCTCCAAGTCCGGAATAAAGTATCGGTTAGCGTAAAAGCACTGCCAAGAGTGGTGCGATACAAGAGGAGTACGGCAAGTTACAGAAGACGTTTTACTGGCATATTTTAATATATACTGCAAAGAAGTCTAAAGTTTTCACTAAAGACGAGTTTGATACATTTTTGTTTGAAGCGCCAGATAAGTTGTATTTAGGATTAAAGGTAAAAAAAATTATATTGCAAAGCATGTAGTATACTCTACTAAATTATAAAAATATTTCAGATTGTTTTGTTAATTGGGGTTACCGGCGCCTGTCGCTGCGACGAAATGAAGACTGTGGACATTGAGGATAAAGAAAATGTAATAGTTATCAAAATCCTAGACAGTAAAACACGACAAATTAGATATTTTACGATAATTGGTCAAAACTACATTAAACTGTATAAAAAGTATGCATCACTACGGCCTGAAAATTTCACAGAAAACCGATATTTTTATTAAGTGCCAAAATGGAAAGTATTACCGAAGCGTCATGGGAATACATTCGATCAGCGCAGTAGTCCAAAAAGTAGCTAGTTATTTAAATTTAAACTATGCAAGCGCATACACGGGTCACTCTTTACGACGAACTTCGGCAACACTTTTAATTGGTGGAAGCGAAAATCTAGAATGCCTCAAACGACATGGGGGCTGGAAATCAAGCACGGTTGCCGAAGAATATATAGAGGATTCTATAAGAAATAAGAACGATAATGCTAAAAAAATTTTAAACCCTCATGATTCGCCAACATCGGGAACGATTGCTGAAAGTTTTTCTCGACCATCAGTATCATCAACAATTACCAATGCGTATCAAGAGTTGGGAACATTTTTGCACGGTTTCAATTTTGAAAATGCCTCATTAACTAATTGTACTTTTAATATTACTATAAATAAAAATTATGTTTAATTGTTGTTAATGACATTTGTATTGTTGCTTTGTGACATGTTTCATATTGTTGCCAAGACAACTTTTTCCCTCCGCCGCCGCGCGCCGTAAAGAAATGGGAAAAAAAACTGCTGCCGGCGGAGACATCAAACTTTGACAGGATCAAGTTAGATAAGTAATGTGATCATTATTTGACGTTTGAAGAAAAAAATGTTTTGCTTTTGGTATAAAGCGAACTAAGCCACCAATAAAACAAAAATTATCATAAATTTTTAAACAATAAATATGACAGATTACAACAAACTTATTTGTGTTATATAAAAAGGGTGAGATTTTAGAATCGCATTTTTGAGTGCATTTAAATTACCTCTTACTTACCTAATAGCATCTAATACAATGCAATGTATATTTTATTTTTATAAGCTCCTTTTAAACACAGAAAATAAAAACGAAGCAGACTTTGTTATTTCCATTAAAAAAAGTAGTAATTAACCTAACAGTGTTAAATAATTGCAAAATACAATATGAGGTATCCACAAAACAAACAAAACAAAAATACTAAATGGACCCCCTAATAACGAATCCTATCACGAAGACTCCGATACAGTTGTCTTAGAAAAAATAACATATAACGATCTTTATATTAAAACTACAAACGCCAAGATAATTAATCAATCAAAGAAGCGAAAAACAACACTAAAGACAAAATACAAAAATTAACGGAATCTTACCCAAAATACAAAAAATAAGATATATTTACGAAGAGTTATGTTAAAACAAAACAACAGCAACTCGGAAGACGTTAAAAAGCTAAACAAAAGAATATCTATAAGAATCAGAAAATGCGTAAGAAAATTCCGTACAGAAAGTATAAGACAAGTTGTAGAAAAGGATAAAACTATAAAGGTGTTGTGAAGAAAGCTATCTAACAGATAGATCGATTTTTAAAATTAAGGACAATTAAGAATTTCCAACAACAATCAACGAATGATCAGAGCTATGCCCGATACGATCATAACTCAAAAAGAGATCAGTAATTGTTTAAGATAAATGAAAAATAACAAAGTTACAGGCGAAGACTGCGTAGTGATAGAAGCTGTAAATATTTTAGGAAGAACACGGATTATTGACTTATGCCTTTAAAATGGAACAATCCTACCCCAGTTGAACAAAGCTATAACAATACAAAATACAAATACAAAACTATAACATAATAGAAAATGATATCAAGCTTGAAAACTACAGCCAAATAAGCCTTCTTTGCTATTTGTATAAGCTATTCATCGAAATTATTACCAAACGCTTGGAAGGTAAACTAGACTTTTATAAATCTAGAGAACAAGCATAATTCAGGAAAAGTTATGAACCGCGTCCATATTCGTTGGACCGAGCTTTCGACATCCTCTCTGATGTCGTCCTCAAGGCTCAGTCTCCCGAGCCCACAGACACTACTACAATGGTCACTGATCACTTCACTGTAAAAGTGTTGAAAGCTCGGCCCAATAAATATCGACGCGGTTCAACCCGGAAGACATGTGAGTTTAATATTAATTTTTGTAATAGTATTAATCTTAGGAACAACCTGGTGTAATTACATAAGTGATCTGTATAATGATGATAGACCCGAAGAACCGGAGACTTTAGTTGAAGGTGAAGGACCAGAAATACTAAAACCAGAAATACTGCATGCTATAAAGTTAGCAAAGAACAAGAAAGCCGTTGGCTCTGATAACATATCGACAGAGATGGTAAAGCTTATAAATGAGGAGAACATTGGAATACTGGTCAAACTTTTCAATGATGTTTATTCGACTGGTGATATCCCTGAATATTGGTTAAAGTCCGAATTCATAACACTACCAAAAAAACAACGTACGAAAAACTGTAGCGATTATAGAATGATAAGCCTTATGAGCCACACTTTGAAAATATTTCTACGCATCATCCACAGTAAAATCAGAGATAAATATGAAGAAGATCAGGATGAAACACGATTTGGCTTCACATGGACTGGGAACTCGGGACGCCCTCTTTGCACTAAATGTTTTACTGCAGAAATGTCTAGATCAAAGGAAAGACGTCTTTGCTGTATTTATTGACTATGAAAAGGCCTTTGATCGAGTACAGCATCACAAATTAATTACAATATTAAAAGATAAAGGAGTTGATAGTCATACGATTCATAGAAAAGTTATACTGGCGTCAAACAGCGACAGCTTGCATAAACGGAAAATCAACAGAAATATGTAAACTACAAAGAGGTGTCAGACAGGGTTGTATACTATCCCCACTTTTATTTAATTTATATTCAGATAGAATATTTAAAGAAGCTCTGCATAATTTGGAATGGGGCGTGAAAGTTAATGGAATTCTGATAAAAACAATCAGATATGCAGACGATACAGTTATTTTAAGTGATGACATGAACGGATTGCAATGCCTTTTAAATGCCATTGATACAGTGGGAAGAGAGTTTGGCCTAAACATAAACTGTGCAAAAACAAAACACATGGTGTTTAGCCGTTTAGCGCATCAAGATGAACGATTATATGTTGATGGTCATATAATTCAAAGAGTGTACAGTTTTAAATATCTTGGTTGCCATATTACTGAACAACTAGATCCAGATCAAGAGATAGTAGAATCGAGATAGCCCGCACGACATTTTTAAAAATGAGGTCCTTCTTCTGTAATGATAACTTGCAACTTCAACTTCGAAAGCGCATGGTTAAATGCTACATTTAGTCAGTCATCTTATACGGTGTCGAAGCATGGACATTAAAAATATCCACCATTAATCGTCTGAAGGCCTTTGAAATGTGGCTGCACAGACGTATACTAAAAATTCCATGGACGGTTATGCTGACAAATGTGGGAGTCCTTAAGAGAGCAAATGCTGCTAGCGAGCTGCTTGATAACATCAAATGTAGAAAGATGGCCTATTTTGGACACGTAGTAAGGGGAGACCGATATAATATTCTTTAACTTATTATGATGGGTAAAATCACGGGCGAAGAACGCAGAGGAATTGGTAGAAAGCAGGCCTCTTGGTTGAAGATTATCAGGGAGTGGACAGGAATAAAGAAAGCTGAGCAACTATTTAGAATAGCTCGAGACAGAGACAGTTTCGCCATGTTAAACGCTAACGTTAAGGGGACTTGATAGGGCTCGTTAAGAAGAAGAAGATTAATCTTCTCTAAGCTCTAGGATTCATATATATATATATATATATATATAATATAATTGAATAAGTATATATAATATTTACCTCACGCGTACTTCGTACGTAATCGATATCTAATGGCAACATTAGATAACATACAAATAACGCTATTTAATTTAAACTGAAATCCTTTAAAAACGAGATGTAAATCACGGCTACTAAGAATATAAATTAGGACTTTCGTATTAAGTATTTCCTATTTATGGGTAAAACTAGATGCAATTTCCTAGGTACTAAAATAAAAAACCTATGTCAGTAAAATTCTAGCTTGCCTGTATCTGACATGGCTAAAACTCTAAATGTGCCTTTATGATTTCCCTTATAGCACAAAACCCATTAACTTTAACAATTAAACAAAAGATTTTAACTTATAAAAAAAAGTTGGTTTTTTACGATAGTTGAAAAAAAAAATGTAACTTTTGTAGAAAAAGGTAGAAACCCATGAAGTCGGTTGAAGTGAAAACAGGCTCTATCGGTGGAATAGGTAAACAGATCGAACCCAAAAAATGAAACCGTTCTCTGACTTTACTTTTAGGTACTTCCTACCTCCTCAGGTTCTCTAAATTTAAAATCAATACGTCTTTAGAAAGCATCTGAAAATGATTCTTCATTTAAGCAAATTTAAAATATAAGCAAACGGTTTACCAATTTTCATTAATAAGCCAATACTGGATATGCACAAACATGATATTATTTAAAAATTGTTACAAGTAGCTAATCGTGGACAATCTAATTAAATTATAACGAATATTATATTATGCAAATGCAAAAAATAATCATAAATTCCTTCACAAAAATAAGTAGTAAAGTATCCTTACCTGTCCGTAACTTCTGATAAAATCTCTTAATTCCTTTTCTTTATCCTCTAACGTCAGATACAACTGTTTCATCTGATTCAGTAAATCAAACTTCTCGGCTTTTAGACGTCTTTTATCCGCTTTGAGCGCTGAAACGATTAGCAAACGTCAAAAGCTGATTATGTGGCACATAAAACAAGAAAATTGACCTAATTTTCATTTTAAAAGCTCTCTTGAATAAAAGATGTTTCATAAATTTTAATCTGGGTGAAAGACTGATTAAAATATTTGAAATATATAATTTCCAGATCCATTATCACAAGGAGGATATTTATAAATAATTTCACTTTTTGAACTAAATAGAAATTATAACTAAAAATATTTCTGAAGGTGTTAACAATATGTTATCTCTTGTATCTGTTGTCTCTTGTATATGTTCACACTAAAGAACGGATAAAATGCAACATTCGTTTTAACGAATTTTTTACATTTTTATGTAAATTCGTAAAATTTAAATTTTTTAACACTTTTTATCAAATTTATCTCAGCCTTGCCCTATTAGTTCGTTTAATCGTTTATTTGTAAATTATATCGAAAGTAGTGGTTTCCAAAAAATAATTTCATCGATAAAGCTTGACATAACAAATTATAAAACAATTATTAGGTTTATACAAGATATGTTTAAATAGTTCTTTTTACCTAACATGGGGCCTAGTAAAAACTTTTTAATTTTATTGTTGCACCTTATAATAATATGCTCAAAGCAGAATCGAACTTATAAAAAAATTACCAGAATTTAATTATTCATGTAACGTCTTTGGCACATGAAATTAATAGAGTAGCAGAGTAAATAAGGTGCAAGTTTCCATTAACAAATGAATTAATTAGTAACGCCAAAAAAGTTTTTCTCAAATCTACTTTGAGAATTAATTTACGAAAGGGAAAACTTTCAGATCTCCAATTGCCACCTTAACCTGTTATAACGCGATGAGGAACTTGGCTTGATGCAGCAGTTTTTTATGCCAAACATTACAATGCCTTAAAAAAATTAATTCTCGACATAAGTAATTCTTCTCAGCCAGTTTTAAAAGTACAGGAAATATTTAAAGATAAAAAACTGCAGGAGCAACTTATTTTTATTAACCCCTCAGTAAACGTGCTCTATTTTTTTACGTGACTACACACGTGGGTTACATTAGAAATCCATACGCACTGGAGCTCTGGAAAAGTAATATTATTTGAAAATAGTGTTATTGTTTTAATGAGGTTTGAATAATACCTCTGCCATCTATAATTTGTTTAATTTCATAACTAAAATATACACTCGAGTTCTTCCATCTCTAGTGTAAGGAATAGATGTGTGTAAATTCTGCTCCATAATAATTTCAATTTTTGGTTATTGTGAGTCGATAATTTTGCTGATTTTGCGTGCAGTGTGTAATACAAGAATAAAAGTGTTAAGGGTAATTATAGCAAAGACATTGGAAGAGAGGTAAGTGCATAACCTCGATAAATTTAGGAAGGCGAAGGAAATTTTATTTACTCTCAACACAAAAAACTAAAAACAAAACCGGCCCCCGTAATTAACACTATATATTAGTTTTAAAAGCTAGAGGTGGGCGTTGCCACATCAAACCGTTCCAAAGTATTTGACAATTATTTTAATTGAAAATTAATTTATCCAAGAAGAAAACGAGAAAATAAATTACTACAAGCTACTACTTGAGAGAACTATCTTCCTTCGACGCGTTGAGTGGGGAGGTTAGCTCTATCGCGAGTAGTAGCAGCAGAAATATGGATTCAGATGATAATACATCCGATGACAATCGGAAAAGAAATAGAGAAGAAGAGGAACTATTATTTGGTCCCAGTAAAAAAGTACAAAGAAGCCCAATTAAAAGTCACAAAGATGAAAACAAAATAGATCAAATACTAAATATGATAAAAAATTGAACAATAGAGTTACAAGAATTAAAAACTGATATAAAAGAGGTAAAAACGGAACAAAAACAATACAGAGAAGAAATGAGGGAACTCAAAACTGAACTAGCAGAACTAAAACAAGAGAATAGTAAAATCTCTAAAGAAAATGAACAAATCAAAAAGGATCTGAATGAGATAAAAGGACGCCTTGAAAGGCTGGATAGAATAAGAAAGAAAATAATGTGATAATACAGGGAATGACAATAGGAACTGGAGATAGAAGAGTACTAAAAGAAGTGATAGAAAATTTTATGACAAAAGAGCTAAATATTACTGTAAATATAGATGAAGGAGTGAAACTAGGAGATAAAACATGTTTAGTCAGATTGCCAAACAAAGAAGAAAAAACAAAAATTATGGAAAACAAAAGTAAACTTAAAGAAGTGAAAAAAGAAAAAATATATATAAACAATGATCTAACGACAGAGGAATTACAAATACAGAGGGAAATACTTATAATAATAGATGGTCTAGAAAGGAGATGGAATAGAAACACCAACCAGCTGGAGGACCATCATGGAGGTGGTTCAAAAAACTAGCAAGGGATGAGAGGATACATTATTCGTTGACGGACGAGGCAAAGAAACAGGAAATAACTGCAGATAAACCCGGGCACAACAAAAGTGAAATAAAGAAAAATGGATAAAAAAACAAATATAAAGGACGAAGACAACAGAACAAAAAAATAAAGAGTTGAAAATAAGAACATGGAACATAAGAACTATGCTAGCTCCAGGAAAAATGCTAGAAATAGAAAAGGAACTCAAAAAGTATAAAATAGATATTGCAGCACTGCAAGAATTACGCTGGGAGGGACAGGGACAGATTGACAAACAAGACTTTACAATGTTATATTCAGGAGGAAAGAAGCAAGGGCAAAAAGGCGTGGGATTCATGATACTTAGTCACCTAAGAGAGAAAATTATAAGTTTTAAGCCAATATGCGAAAGGATGGCCTATGTTAGAGTCAACAGCAAACCATTTAATATATCAGTCTTGAATTTATACGCCCCCACACAAACAAGCAATGCAGACGAAAAAGAAATCTTTTATGATAAGGTCGAAGAGGAGATAGAAAAAATACCCAAAGAAGATGTCATATTTGTACTGGGAGACCTCAACGCCCAAATTGGAAAACAGGACTTTTTACAGCAAATTGCAGGAAAGCATACAATACACGAAAACACGAATGACAATGGGCAAAGACTATGTAACCTAGCAACAAGAACAAATTTGTTAATAAGCTCGACAAAATTTGAACACCCTAAAATACATAAGGTAACATGGAGGTCACCGGATCAGAAAACATATAGTCAAATTGATCACATAATGATTAATAAACGAAAACAATCGTCAATAAAAGATGTAAGAACGTTCAGAGGTGCGTGTGCAGATTCAGACCACTACATGGTCACAGCCATTTTAAGACAAAAAGTTAAAATTGAAACAAAACAAAAAAACCAACATAAAAAAGTGGAATGTCAATAAATTGAGTAATGAAGAAGTAAGAAAAAAATATAAAGAGGCAGTAACAGTTCAAATAAAAGAGAAATATAAAGTAGAAGATATAAGCACAGAATGGGAGACGATCAAAAAATCAATAGAAGAAGGTGCAAATATGCAGATAGGTAAAAGTCAGGCTAAAACAAGAAACGAATGGTATAACCAAGAATGTAGAGAAATAACAGAAAAAAAAGTGCAAGCCAGAAATAAATGGCTAAGAACAGATAAAGAGGAAGACAGAGAAGAATATGAAAAATTAAGAAGGTATGCTAAGAAAGTGATAAGGCAAAATAAAAGAAGATGGGTAGACAAAAAAATGCAGGAAATAGAGCAGGAAAGAACAAACAGAAATACGAAAAGTTTTTACAAAAAGATTAAAGAACAAAACAAAAAATACAAGGGCAAAACAAACGGAATAAAAAATAGAGAGGGAATAGTGATAATAGAGGACCAAGAATACAAGCAAGTATGGAGAGATTACTACAGAGAGCTCTTGACGGAGGAAACAACAGAAGAAGAAATGCATGACGAGGAGGAAACAGTACACGAAGAAGAAGCAAATGAAGTAGACATCGAAATTTCAAAAGAACCAACATTAGAGGAATTGGATGAAGTAATACAGAGAAGCAAAAATGGAAAAGCCCCAGGTAAAGATGGAATTAATATGGAACTAATAAAATACGGGGGAAGGGAACTAAGAGGAAAAATACTGGCACTATTGAAAAATATATGGAAAGAAGAGAAAATGCCAGGTGACTGGGAGGTAGGACAGATCATAACAGTACATAAAAAGGGAGACCAACAAATCTGTGAAAATTATAGAGGAATAACATTACTAAATACAACATATAAAATATTGACATCAATAATAAAAAAGAGGTTATCAAAGATCACAAAGAAGACAGTAGGACAGTACCAATGTGGATTCACAGAAGGAAGATCTACAATAGATGCAATACACACAATAAAACAAATAATGGAAAAAGCAAACGAGTATAAATTAGAATTGGAAATGTTATTCATAGACTTCAAACAGGCATTTGATTCAATTAAAAGGAACGTATTAATGACAGCACTTAAAAAATTAAAAATTCCACATAAACTCAGAAAATTAATAGAAATGACAATGAGAACTACAAAAATAAGCATAAAGACACAAAGAGGAGAGACAGAGGAATTCAGTATAAATAAAGGGATGAAACAAGGAGATGCCTTATCAACGACGCTATTTAATCTAGCATTAGAATATGTACTGCGAAATATAAATAAAGGAAATCTCAGAACAAGAGGTGGTCAAATAATTGCATATGCAGATGATATTGCTATTATTGCAAAGAACAGAAAAATAATGAAAGAAATGCTTGAAGAAATAAGAGAGAAAGGGGAGGTAATGGGGCTAAGATTAAATCAAGAAAAGACAAAAATATTAAGATTAGGGAAAAAACCAATGAAGGAAAAAATCAAAATAGGAAGTTCCGAGTTTGAAGAAGTAGAATACTTCAAATACCTAGGAGTTACAATAAGTAAATCCGGAGAAAGGAAATCCGAAATAAAAGAAAAAATATTAGCAGCGAATAAAGCTTATTTTGCAAACAAAAGATTACTTAAAAGCAAAACACTGACTAAAAAAAGCAAGATGAGCATTTATAACACCATAATTAGA